AGACACACGCCCCTGTCTCCTTTGTACATTCCTTTTTGTGTATGGGGTGGGGGTGGATCATTTAAGCTCTGTCATGGCATTTACAGGGAAATACCTCAAAATGAAGATGCATAAGAACTCTGATTCCGGTTGCTAGAACGGCCTGTTTGGCAGCATGAGGGACCGTCTGCTAATGCACGGCTCACCTGGGTGTCCAGTGGGTGCTATCAGCTCTACCTTTGCAGCAGACCTGCCTCCTTCAGCCATGCTGCTACCAGTTCTGGTGGGAATGAGATCCAGGGCTAGTATGTGTTTGTAGTCATGTTACTGTGATAGATTCCTGGGATAGTTGTTTTACTTGTTTAGGGCTTACAAATGGTTTTCTGCCAGTGGTGGTATTTAGCTGAATTTTACTGAATTTGCATAAGATATCAGAAGTAGTATAAATGTTTATGGATAAGTGTGGCAGTAAATACAGTGTGTGTATAAACATTATACATATTTATAGAAGTCCATGCACAATGACACAACTATCTGTTGCGGTTTTTTGTCTTGAAACCACAATTGATAGTTGGAGTGGTTTCATGCAACGATATTATATTTGGCTTTTGGCATTTTGTCATGTCTTTCTGAGTAGCTGTAGCACCATTAAGACATTCTTTCGGGGTACGTTGTCTGGTTAGTGATGCAGAAAAATACTTGATACACTCAGCAGTATCGTAGCAGTGCTGTAAAAGGGCGATTGTATCAGACTCAGAACAGACGCTTTTCAGCTGCTTAGTGCCCCCAGCTGTTTGGAACAGTGTCCGGTCCCCCAAGACCTTCTGCTGGATATGTGGGTGGCATTCTTTTTTAGTTTTTCCTTTTCCATTTCACTTGAAACATGACATACCTTTAAAATGATTTTTTACATGTTGTACTGTGAATAGTTTCGATCTTTTCGTCATTGGAATTGTGGGTATTCCTAGTTGCATCAGGCAGTAAAATGTTCAGGACATATACAACATGCAGCCAGTTGCAGGTCGTGTGGAGCCCAGAAAAGGGGAATCCCTGTGGCCCTAAGGAAGGAGGGTGCCTCCAGATAACAGGCACATCAGCAAGGAACATCTCTTGCTGCATGACATTAATAAGGACTGATGCTTGTGTTTTCCAGTGTGCTGCTACTGTTAAAAAGCATGAAATAAAGCAATTAGGCAGTGAACTGGAACATCTGCCAGTTCACTGCAGTGGGTGGGTGGGTGTGATTGGCTCTGTTGTTTATATTCTCAAATGACCATTGCACAGAGGTCCTTTCTATTGTTTATATACATCCTGAAGTAGCATGCTATGTTTTGCTTTAAGGCAATGGCTATCAGTAATTACCATTAAGTGTTTTACCCCTGAACTGGAGGAAAGCAGCTGTGTTTTTGGCCAGTTCCTTTGAGGTGGAAGTGAGTCAGCACAGCTATCCCTGGGCTGTGGCTCACAGCAGATTTATTGTACCTGATTTTCAGCCAAATATGTCTAGTGCTACAGATCACAGCCATGTGTGACCATGCCAGTTTCAGGCAATTTCTACTCTGTTAATTGTGACATTTTAGTCTTGTGATAGGAATATATTCAGACATATTCAGCTAACAAAGACTGGTGATGACAGAATAAAAATCTCTGCAATAAATGTGTCATTATTAAAGAGGAACATGCCCAGTTTGACCTTTTCCAAATGTCTCCAGCAGTGGCGCTTAAAGAAAAAAACTATAAGATAGAGGGAGATTTTTAAATAGAGGGAGAGCTGGGCTGAAATAGCTGAGGCAGAATGGGCTGAGAGTTCAGGCTTGGGTGAACATTAAATGGTGTTCTTTCTAGTATGTGCCAACATGTTGGGTAGTCATTCCTTTTATAACAGAGCTTGTTGTGTGTGTGCTTTGTCTCTGTGCTCATGACCATAACAAAGAAAGCACAGCAGACGATGCACTCCCATCATAGTGCAGAGCTGCCATTCAGGACATTTTATACCATCCTCTGGTCAGCACCGCAAACCGGGGTGGTCATTCCAGCAGTTCGCTGCAGTGTGTCATCCGATCTGCAAGGGGGTCATCAACTGTCAGCTTTCTGACCAACTCCAGAGTAGGGCTGGACGATTTATCGATTTCAAATCGAAATCGCATTTTGAAACAAAGTGATTAGCGAATCCCAAAGGCTGCGGTTTAGGGTATACATTATACAGCACACCGGACCCAGGGTTTAAAACTGTTGTGAGAATAGTTTTACAAATTCATGCCGTGCTCCTTGTGTGACAGTCATTCTCACCAATAACAAGCGAAGTGCTTCTCGTCAAACTCGCCAATCAGAAGTGGCCCATGAAGGTGTATAGGCCCACAAACTGCAAACATGTAAAACCCAAGGAAAATGTTGCATTCACGGTGCGGAAAAAAATACCGATTCCGCTGCTGAGCTATAAGTGAATTTCCTTCCTATTTCATGGTCCAAGATTGTATCAGAAAGGTCCTATCATCAGTAGAACCGGCGACCTCCTTTTAAACACCAGCAGCGACATACTTCAGCGTATCACACTTTTCAGCAATAGCATTAGCATACTGCTAACCCATCAAAACAAAAATGAGACAGTCAGTAATCCTCACAGCAGCGGAGTCGGTGGCCCCCAAGAAAGTCATAAAACCCATAATACAGTCGTGTTTATGTCATATGTTTATGTGCTTTTTAATTTAAGTGTTTCGAAAGATAAATCTTGTGAAATTAATCTTAATCCCACAACGGTAATAAAATAAAAACCTCGCTTTAACATAAATACTAAAAGAATAGATCGCTTTAATCGCTATTACAGTTGGGTATGGGCATGTGGCCTTATTATTTAGAAAAGATAAAAAAAGAGATGCATATAATGTTTATTCATTCGTTTTGTATTTGTCCGAGTAACAAAGCAAAGGAATGATTAGCCACTTCAGTCGAAAACTGCATTTTACTTTTTCAAATAAAATGCAGGGTTGGCAACTTTGGTCAGCTGCATGGAGTGAGATTTTCTGTTCTCTGTTCTGCACACACATTTTCATGTAGGCTATGTAAGTTTTATTACCTTGTAAATAGTCTGTAGGGTTTGCAAACTGCCGTAATGTTTTTGATGCAGCTAATTTTAAGTTCAGAATGGAATATAGATTTGCCGTAAGATTTCTTGTGTGAGAATCTGAGTTTGCAACCCTGAACACATACATTTTTTTGTTTCACCTGAATTCATTTGTATAGAAAATAACCATATACAGTTGTTAAAAAGCGGAAACTTCGACCAACATGAAATCACCAATAAACGACTAATATTTATTCAACATTTTACGGTTTCAGGACAGAACAGCCACTCTGTTATGAACATTATGGCTTTTTGGTTGAGAGTGTTAGATTCACTGCTGTTATTAACACTAATAACACATTAGCGCAAACAAAAGGGCTGCATACACCGAAGTAGTTCTTGCTTGTTCATTGGCGTGGGAAAAGGCGGTTCTAGTGTTAATTCAATTCAATTCAATTCAATTTATATTTATATAGCGCCTTTCACAACAGAGTTGTCCCAAAGCGCTTTACAGGGTTGTGTTGTGATACATGAAACAGAAGTAGAGGGAGATACAGAACGGGGAAAAAAATGAAGGAATGAAATTGAATAGACAAAGACAACGGAGGAGAGGAACCAAAAACTCCCAAGTAGGTAGAAAACAAAACTGGGGGTCCAAGTTCAACAGGCTGCCCAACCCCCCCCGGGCATAATAACATTACTGAGAAGAGAAACGAGTGGAAATGCTTGCTAAAAGGGAGGTATATGCTGGGATTAAGAATGAAGGCAAAGTCCATCAATGAGTCCGTTATCCATGTTGGCCTCTGAGGGGTAGCTAAGGTCTTTTCTCCACGTTGGGCTGTGTCAGGTGGCACTGAAGGCTGCACCCACGATGATACAGTTCATATGGCCCATTTGCAATGTCACCCCTTCATGGGACTGAACCAGGACTCCAGCTCAGATGGTGCCCACCCCGGGCACCACCCAGAAATGTGGGCAGGCAGAGAGCATGGATGGTCAGAACATGCGTTGACACATAAACGGACAAACATAGTAGATAAAAATGACATGTACAGCAGCACCAGCAGCCATAATTATGGTGTGTTAAGTTGCGGATAAGCTAAACTGAAGTAATGGGTCTTCAGTCAAGATTTAAAGACCGAGACCAAATCAGCATCCCGAACATAGGCTGGTAAACCATTCTACAATATGGCAGAATGCTTTACTGCCAACTCTCACTTTATTTATATGTGGAACGACAAGAAAACCTGCATTCTGTGACCTGAGTGGACGACGCGGCTTGTAAACTTGAAGTAATTCTATTAGGGGGGTAATCATCATTACCTGTAAGATCGCTATTGTTTTTCTTTTTGCTGCAATTATTTTCATTATTACTTTATTTAACTTAACACACCACATCTTTAAATTCTCATCCTTGCATTAGAATATTGACACTGAATATTGAACTGAAGCTTGACATAAAAAATTATATTGCAAATCAAATCGTAATCGCAATGTCTGTTAGAAAAATCGCGATTAGATATTTTCCCCAAATCGTTCAGCCCTACTCCAGAGCATGAAAATAAATAGCTGATCTTACCAAGTCTTGTCACTGTCACTTTTTAAAAACATTATTAGCCAATCAGAAGTGAAACCACTCAACACCAATATAGCTGCGGTCTGTGTTATGCTGCCGAACTAGCCCTCCTAGCCAGAGTCTGTCGTTACCATGTATTCATCCATGACTGGTTGTTACAAACGCATTTTACCTTAAGCTTGTCATCTGTCTAAGTGTACTTGATCTGTCTGCACAAAATATCTGTCTACACTTGATGTCTTAATTATATAAGTTGAAGTGTGACATGTAAGGAATGTATGAAAAGTCTCAATGCCAAGAAACACCCAAGTGAATTTTTTTGTAAATGTAATTTAAAAAGTCAAGCTGATTCTGAACCTGCTTCCGATTCTTGTGGTCTCTCAGGAGTCGAGGACGCAGAGCGGGGGTGGGCACGGCGGGCGCGGAGGCACCACCGGGGGCCCCGATCTGGATGTTAGCGACGGCTTCATGGGCCTCAAGGACCACCTGGAGGATGGGGTAGGCCGCATCCTGGACCTGGGGTTGGATTTGGACTACCTCCATGTGGAAACTATGGATCGCCAGTCTGGAGCGAGCGGCGACCCTGGTTCAGCTGCTGTGGAGATGGGTGTGGCCCACGTGAGTGACATCTGCTCCTCCACCTCCCTGGGGGACTCTGAGGAAAGTGCCGATTCTGACAATGAGGCGGATCGGGCGCCTAGCAACTGCAGCCATGGTGACCACCCTTCGCCTGACCCAGACCCAGCTGCAGCACCACCTAGAGAAACTCCTCAGTCTTCAGTGGTCCCTTTGGAGGAGCCCGACCAGGCTGAAATGGCCAGGGAGTACCAGACCAAGATGGAGTTTGCGCTAAAGCTGGGCTACAGCGAAGAACTGGTTCAACTGGTGCTAAGCAAACTTGGGCCTGGGGCACTGATTAATGATATTCTGGGGGAACTGGTCAAACTGGGCAGCAAACCAGAGGCTGAGCCAGGGTGTGGTACAGCAGCGTTGCCCTCTGCCTCGCTGTCTGCCACGTCCTCCTCTTCCTCTTCCACTTCCTCCCCTTCTGGTGTCTTCCGCTCTGCCTCCAACTCACTCCGGTCCGACTCCCCCATCTACCCAGAGAGCCCAGATGACACGGACAACCTGCGGCCAGTAGTGCTGGATGGCAGCAATGTGGCCATGAGGTGAGCGCCTTCGTGCTGTGCCCCGCCCCCATGCCCCACCCCCATGTCAGTGTTTGCTCTCCTGCTTAGAGTTAAGTTCCCTTGCTGAGCTGCGTAGATGTGCTGCAGGAAAATGTCATTTGCCTTTTAATTTTCCAGGAAACTGAAATAATTTTATACACCAGTGAATTTGGCTCATGTTGGTTTGTTTTGTTTTTTTTTTCTTCAGTTCATTTTGGTCTGTTCATTATTCTGTTTTTGTTTTGTTTGATTATTGTATACTGGCCTTTCCAACATCCCTGCACTGGACCAACAAGGAATAATACTGAAACATTACAGTTTAGCCTTCAGAGCAAAATAGAAAAAATTTGTATTAAAAAGCTGCAAGTTTCCAGCAGAGCGGAAACCAAAGGAGGGTCAGTGGCTGCTTGATGTTGGAGAATCAGACAGTTTCATCACATGTACAGCAATCTTTCCATTTATGGTAATTCAGCTTAGGTTTTTTTCATAATGAGTTACATTTTGAATATAGTTTTTAAGGAATAATTTCCTTGATATAATGTTGTTCAGCCAAATAACATACTAAACAATTTTACAAGCTGTGATTTATGTGATAGGTGTAGCATAACGTTCGGCTAAAACCGTATTAGGCACCAGTTTCCTCAGTGAAACTTGACAACCAAAGAAGCCTTTATTTCAAATTATTGCTTATTATTTGTAACAGTAAATAGTAAAATTTTTATTACTAGTAAAAATAGCAAAATTTGTAATTTGTAAGTATTTGTAACAATTTCGTTGTTCTACTGATATTTGGGAAAGTTGTCAGGGTTTTTTCCATTTGAGCTGGAAACCGTTTTTTCCATTTAAAATGTTTTGAATTTCCAATTGGGAGGAATGCATTGGTAACCTAAATTGAGGGTAGGCTGCAGTATGTGGAGTTAGAGTTACGGTCGCTAAAGGATTTTACTGCTAGACTAACTGCAGTTTTTGGGAGGATTGGGATAAGGGGGACGCTGTATCCTTATTGGTGGAATACAATTTCAGTTTGTTTATTTAGCAGCTGCTTTTATACAAAGATGTGTACAGTTGAGAGTCAGACTGTCAGCTGCTCTTTTCTCAGCTTGGAAGCTGTGTAGTGATTCTGCTTGTTCTGCTTCTGCACTGGTGTGAAGTGGATCCATCAGTTCTGCAAACATGTGGTGAATATTGTCCTTGATCAGCCTTGAATTCATAGTTGCAGGGCTGCTGATGAGGAGGCTGGTGGATTAGCTTTGCTTTTCTGGTCACAGTGAGATCCAGTTATTTTTGTGTATTTTCTTTAAAAATGAAAAAAAAAACATCAGATACACTGAAATGCCTAAACATATACATGTCAATTTTGTAATATTGTAATTATCTTCATATACCTGTATGTTTCTATCTCTTCATACGTGTGTCTTCTGTCTAGTATCGTGTCTTCTGTCTAGTATTTAAGATGCCGGCCTATTTTAACACGGGCCACCCTGTGTATTAGGGTGACATGCACTGTTAGCTCACATCTTCAGGGTTAGGGGTCTGGATCCTGGCCCTGCTCTGTGGGAGTCTGCATGTTGCATGGGTGTCCTGAGTGTCTAGTTTCCTCCTGCATTGCAAAGATGTGCACTTAGGTTAATTAGTCCCTCAATCGCCCGTAATATGTGACTGTGTGTGAGTACCTGTGAAGGTGTGTCCCCTACAATGGACTGGTAACCCATCCAGGTGTCCGGAGCCTTGTGGCACTTAGAGAAAGCTTGCTTGGCATAGGCTCCAAGTGTGTGTGTGTGTGTGTGTGTGGATTAGGTTTATATTACATTGTGGGGACCAAATGTCTGCCACAATGTCATAAAAACCTGTTTTTTGATGTTGTGGGGACCACTTTTCA